TGAACAAACTTGGTAGACATTCACTAGAAGATGTTTCATGTCAAATATCTAAGCTCTAGCTCTTACAGTTCTTTAAAAGAAGATTTTTTAAGTTTTTACTATATGCATATAGGGAAAATCAATGACCCCCTGGGGCGGGGCCAATTTTGACCCCAGGGCTTTTATTTGAACAAACTTGGTAGACACTCACTAGAAGATGTTTCATGCCAAATATCTAAGCTCTACCTCTTATGGTTTTTTAAAAGAAGATATTTAAAGTTTTTTCTTTTGGTTGCCATGGCAACCAGAGTTCTGCATGGAATTAAATTCTTTGAACAATTTTTAAAGGTGACCACCAAAGGAACATTCCTGTGAAGTTTGGATGAAATTGGCTCAGTGGTTTATGAGGAGATGTCATTTAAAGCAAAAGTTTACGGACGGACGATGGACGGACGGACGCCGGACGAAAAGCGATCACAAAAGCTCACCCTGTCACTTTGTGACAGGTGAGCTAAAAATTATTAAAGGGCCATAACTCTGACAAAAATCATTGAACCGGAAAATACTGACAATATGCACAACTAGACTTGGTATTGATCATTCCTGTAAAGTTTGGATGAAATTGCACCAGTAGTTTATGAGGAGTAGTCCGGACAAGCTTTTGTGTATCTGGCAACACACAGAAAAAAACACCTTTTTATCAAAGGGCCATAACTGGGCCAAAAATCATTCAACCGAATAACCCGTGCAATATGCAATATGCAATATATAGGACTTGAGCTATATATCAATCATTGAAATTGCATTAGTGGTATAAGAGAAGTAGTCCGGACAAACTTTAAAAATAAAAATTATTAAAGGGCCATAACTCTGACAAAAATTCTTGAACCAAAAAATGCTGACAATATGCACAACTAGACTTGGTACTGATCATTCCATTAAAGTTTGGATGAAATTGCACTAGTAGTTTATGAGGAGTAGTCCAGACAAGTTTTGTGACGGACTACTCCGTAGAGGCGACACAAAAAGTATTTTTTAAGGAAAATTCTAAGTTCAAGGGGAGATAAATCTAAAACTATTGGTGCTAGAGTTATGAACCTTGTCACATAAGATGTGGTTGATGATAAGGAACATATATTTGAAGTTTGAAGTTGATACCTTAAGAAATTACAAAGTTATAGTGAAAAATATTTTTACTGCACCAAAACTTTAATCGTATAGTCGAGCTAAAAATCTATTTTTAGCCCTCCTGATCCAGATGTTCAATTGAGCAGAACCATTTGAACAATTTTAGTAAAGCTTCATGCTAGGAACATCCCAAGAAAATTTCATCAAATTTGGCCCAGTAGTTACTGAGAAGAAGTTGTTTGTATAAGAAGAGGGCCATGATGGCCCTAAAATCGCTCAACTGAATATAAGACTCTCCATGACAAGTAATATTGTAATCTATGAATAAAAGCAGATATAATATGTAAATCTATACCTGATTTCACAAAATTTATATTTGTATCTTAAATAGTGCATGTGTAAAAACATTTGCAAGTGAAAACAACAGTTCAAAAAGATGGGGTGCGGCCAATTTTTACCCCAGGGCTTTTATTTGAACAAACTTGGTAGACACCGATAAGAAGATTTTTCATGCTTAATATCTAAGCTCTAGCATTTAGAATTTTTTAAAAGAACATTTTTTTTTAGTTTAAGTTTTTACTATATATACTCAAACTCGGTATTATCGGCGCACCTCTATTCCGAAAATACGGTAATTTACATAAATAGCACCGCCTACCACCCTCTCACGTGAGTAAACAATAACAAGGAAGACGTCACTTTTTTTCTATGGAAGGCCGTTTACGTATAATAACACTTACATTATTAACCATCCTGAGCAGAGCAAGTTGTAGATCTGCATTTTTAGGTAAGTTTTTTTTTACTGTGTAATTCTTCTTTCAGGTTTCTCATACAGTGACTGCTAAGAGACGTCTTTCTTTTAGTACACCACATCCAGTGAAAATGAGGCGCCAGTATGACCCAGCAAATCTTCAACCTATCATGCAACCAATAAGGGTATGTCTGCCTATCGTGCTTCTGGGCTGTATGGGGTGCCAGAATCTACCATCAAGGATAGGCCATCAGGAAGGGTAGAGACTGGGGTAAAGCCAGGGCCGTTGAAGTTATTTTCATCCGAAGAGGAGCAGAGGTTGGCAGACCATATAAAGCACATGGCCAGCATTGGGTATGGCTATACTAAGGCCAACGTACAATATCTCGCTGCTGATTTTGCAGTGGCTTGTGGCAAGAAAGTGAACAGTGACAAACCACTTAGTGACAGTTAGTTTTATGGTCTTCTAACAAGATGGGAAAATCTGAAGGTTGCAAAACCTCAAAAGCTCTCTTTACTTTGAGCTAAATGTGCCTCCAAGGAGGTCCTTTATCAATATTTCAAGGAACTTTGCACCATTATTTCTGATAATGGACTTTAAGGGAAACATGAGCGCATTTATAACATTGATGAGACTGGCATTAATACAGAGCATACTCCACCACATATAGTATGTGATGCAACCTCTCAGCCACAAGCAGTTACTTCCCCAAGATCATCAACTGTGACAATTATTGGTGGGGAACCAGATCCCACCCTATTACATTTTTCCAGGGAAACAGTGGAATAGTGAATTTTTAAATGTAGCTCCCACTGGTGCAGATGGTGAAATGTCTGATAGTGGTTGGTTTAATTCTCTAATTTTCCAAAATTATCTTACAAAACACCTTATAAAGTATGCAAATGTCTCATCTGATACTCCAACTCTCATTATTTTTGATGGACACAAATCACATGTTCAACTCTCTCTGGGCAAGAGAAAAAAAACATAATTCTGTTTGTGCTTCCACCTCACACAAGTCACATAACACAGCCTTTAGATGTTGGGGTATTCGGACCTTTGAAGTCTATGTACTATAGGGAATGTCAACTGTATTTACAGAAACATCCAGGTCAAAAGATCACCAAATATGAGGTGTCTAAATTAACTTCAAAGCCATACTTGAAAGCTCTGTGTCCTGAAAACCTGATTTCGTCTTTCCGTAAGACTGGAATATATCCATTCTCAGATTGTACCATCAAAGAGTCCCAGATAGCACCCTCTTCAACTTATGTGTTCCTAATGTGTCTGCTGTTGATCCTCAACCTCAATGTCTTCAGTGTTCACCAAGACAAGAGAAACCAATGTGCCAATACATGCCCTAGAAACTGACAATAAAAACATTCCAGAAGGTGTACTTAGTCCTAGAAGTATTTTCTTCAAGTCCGGACCATCACTGGCATCTCTGATCCCAGTAGGAAACCTAGGAAGAAGTTTGTATCACCATTTCTAGCTGGTAGTTTGTCAAAGCCCAATAACATCACAGTGCTTCAAGCTAAAAAGCCCAAAGCAAATCAAGCAACAATCACAGATCATTCATCTCAATCTGAAAAATCTTTAAGTAAATCCTCTACTACCAAAGCAGTTCCATCATCTTCTTCAAAACAACTTCCTCATCCAGGTCCTTCTGCTTATTATGTCAGCAGTTCAGAGGCTGAAACTGAGTCTGGCTCTGAGGATGAATCTTCAAATTGCTGTGTGTGCCATAAATTTTCACCTCCAGCTCTTAAGCAGTGTACAAGTTTAGTTATTGTGAAGTGGGCTCAATGCGATAAGTGTCATCACTGGACACATTTGTCCTTCTGCACTGAGGTCAGGGTTGTGTGGCGTCATAGTGAATTTCTATGACCCCACTGCCAATAAATACATTTAAAACTGTAAAAAAACTGTTAAAAGAAAGACTGTTTAACTCTTTCCTGTTCCATGTTGACTTTTTAAATATCCAGTTAATTGTTTTGATATAACACTTTGACATTGTTTGGTGACATTTTATTTTCAAAAACCATGAACTTGTTGAATCATACTCTTGTCTTGAAACTTTATAAATCAACCATAATATGTGTGTAAAGTACAGAAAGATAATTATTTGACGGTGGATAGCCAAACTTTAAGGTAAGACAAGCTTTCAGTCATTTTTTTTACATCAACGGCTTGCCATAGTTGATCAATGCTGAATACGTCGATAACAGAGTGTTCTCCCTTTAGGAGGTTGTGTAGGCAGTCATGTGTATTGAAGCTAAACATCTTTGACCCAGTTCAGCATAAACTGAATTTCTTACGGTGAATTTGTAGAAAAGGTGTCTGCTTTTTCACGCAAAATATAAATTATTTAATCTAGCACTGAAAAATAACGCGTACATAGTGCAAACTTTAAGTACGCCGATAATACGGTGTTCTAGGCTACATATAAGGAAAACCAATGACCGCCCCTTCACCCCGGGAAGGGTCAATTTTGACCCCAAGGCAAAAAAATTTGGTAGACACCCACTAGAAGATGTTTCACGCTAGATATCTAAACTCTAGCTCTTTGGGCTTTTTAAAAGAAGATTTTGTTTTTGTTTTTACTATATATCTATCTATATATTTAAAATCAATGACCCCCTCCCCCCCCCCGGGCAGGCCAATTTTGACCCCAGGGCTTTTATTTGAACAAACTTGGTAGACTGTTATTTGAAGATATTTCATGCTTAATATCTAATGTCAAACAGCCCCGGGCGGCGTTTTTTCCACACAAAAAATCGTAATACCGGCCGATGGTAGCAGCAATCAGTGTAATAAGTCGCACAATGTTTATTAGACAGATAAAACGTATTTCTGTGAAAATAATGCTGATGAATAGTTCAGTCTCTACAGTATAAATCACAAAGTGAAATTTGGATGTTGTATGCAAATGAAAGCTGAGTTTTCTACTTTTGTCACGTAAACTAACAGAATTTTGCTATTTGAACATGAATTAAATCATAGTTAATATTTTTAGGCACATTATTTCTATATGTTACAAAATATTTAATTATTGAAACTGTTTTAAATGAAACCATTATTATATATACCAAAACAATTTGAAATTGTAAGGGCTGTAAACAATGTGAATTTGTGACTTACCCTGGTACAAGGTATTTGTCAACAGCTTTAGTGGCAATATGGGTAGCTGCCCTCTGTATCTTTGAAGATAAACTCAAATTTGAGCAGAATCTGGACTGAAATTGTAAACATAACAGAATGCCATTTGTAGATATACTATATGGAACTACAATAAAAACAGATAATAATGTTAAATCAAAGGCACATACAATCACCTCAATTTTAAATCATTTCATCTGAAGCAAACCAAGATAAATGTTCCTTTTAACCTTTTTATCTACAAGAGCTATGTTAACATGGCCATCCCCCGCCGATTATGTTTGCTCATTGGAAAAATGTATATGTAGTAGAGCAAAATAATTCAATTTTAAGAGGTCTTTTGGTAATGAAAACTGATGGCTGAAGTGATTACAGATTTAAAACCTATGTAAATACTGATGGTTAAAAATAACAAAGGGCAATAACTGAAAAATAATGCAGGGTAGGTTATCATTGTTATGTGCTCATTCTTGTGTGCTGCACTCCTCCTTAATGAGATCTATCCACCTATGAAGATTCAAGTTGATACCTCAAATATTTTTTGAGATGTGCTCAGGACAAAAAGTATGAAAAATAACAAGGGGCAATAACTCAAAATTTATAAAGGGTAGAGTTATCATTCTTGCACACAGCATTCCTCCTCAATTAGATCTACCAACCTATGAAGTTTCTGATGGCTGAAGTGATTACAGATTTGAAACCTATGTGAATATTGATGTCTGAAAATAACAAAGGGCAATAACTCAAAAATTATGAAGGGTAGAGTTATCATTCTTATGCACTGCAAACCTCCTGAGTGAGATCTATGCAATATTTGTCTCTTGTAAAATCATGTACATAAATTAAAAGATGTTAACAGTAGAGCCGCAGGCCACAAACCTTTTGAACAACCTTTGTACACTGGTAGACAGCGCTTCTCACACCACTACAGTTTCAAACAGTCAACTGCTAAGACAAGATTTGATGTATGGATTTAACTAAAAGTCACAAGGACAGAGGTGAGGACTATAAGCGGGATGTAGCAAAACCTCAATTCTCTGTTCCTCTAAATAAGCTTGAGCCAAGGCTGTCCAGTGTGCAAGTGCATTACTATGGAGTAATTTGATCCTACACCAGACCTTGGGTTTTTTGTAATGAAGTGATTAAGTACAACAGTGAGAACATGGTCACAGTAAAATGTTCCAGCGACATATTCCATCACTGTAACAAGATTGCATTTGTGAAGCAAGAGGGCCATGATGGCCTTATATTGCTCAACTGATTATTGAGGCTCTGATTATTGAGGCTCTCAAGCCTCAATATTGTTAGCAATGAATGAAAGGCAGATATAATGCCATAAACTTAAACTGACATCATAACATTTATATCTGAAACAGTGCAAATGTTAATAAGGTTTTTTTCATATATGCCTTTTTATAACATATCATGTATCAACTGAGGAAGCTAAATAAAGCGAAACGTGTTTTGATACTTAAATTTGTGTTGGTTTTTGATCCAATTGTCCTATTTTTATAACATAGTAACAAATAACATTTGATAACCTAATTTCTAAGTTCAAGGGGGAATAATTCTGGAAATAGTCATGCTACAGTTATGAAACTTGTCACACAACATGTGTGTAATGATAAGAAATATATATTTAAGTTTGAAGTAGATACCTTTAAAGGTAAAGAAGTTATAATATTTCTTAAGGACAATCCTAAGTTCAAAGAGAGATTAATCTGAAAATATTGCTTCAAGAGTTCTGAACATATCACATATCTGGTGAAAAATTAAGTATGAAAAATAACAAAGGGCAATAACTCAAAATTATGAAGGGTAGAGTTATCATTCTTGTGCACTGCACACCTCCTGAGTGAGATATATCCACCTATGAAGTTTCAAGTTGATACTTCAAATACTTTTTGAGATATGCTCTGGACAAAAATGTGGGACGCTAGGACAGACAAAAGGACGGACTGGTGGACAGACACCTTTTGGCAGGGGATAACAAAGGGCAACAACTGAGAAATTATGCAGGGTATAGTTATCATTCATGTGCACTGCACTCCTCAATATGATCTATCCACCTATTAAGTTTCAAGTTGATACCTCAAATACTTTTTGAGATATGCTCTGAACAAAAATGTGGGACGGAAGGACATTCCTGCGAATAGACATTTATTGGGTACTTCTTTTGTTTAAAAGTACCCAATAAGAGAACAAAAGTACCCAACAGTACTGACGGAATGAATAGAATTACCCAACAAGTGTCCTTTTGTGCGCCGGAGGTACCCAACAAGTGTCTTCTCGTGCGCCCTGATGGACAGATGGACGGACGGAGACTATTTCTATATCCCCGCTGCCTTTTTGGCAGGGGATAAAAATCATTACTATAGTTAGAGAAAATGTCCTTCAAGAATACTGTGTGGGGGCGTGCCCGAGTGGTCAATGCATCGGACTAGTAATCTAAGGATTGCTGACCGCATGGATTCAAAACCTGTCAGAGGCAAGCCATAGAAACTTTACATTCATTGCTTAGTACTGGTTGATTTCAGGAAGGGATTCGAGAGTTACAATAAGCTTATAGCTTCCGACATAATCAAACTAAAGTAAATTTGTATAAACTAAAAATACTGTCTTTCAGATCTTAAAACAAGACAGTACATCATAACATACGAAATTCTTAAAGTGAAATTAAAAGGTCCAATCAAACCTGGCTTTTTCTTGGCTTTATGGCACACCAACACAGCTGAAGTCATATGGCTCCGAAACAGGAAAGATAATTTTGACCAACCATGAGTGTAAATAACTTAAAGCAACAACAGGGGTCAAACCACTTTACCTGCTGGAACTAAGAGATGCATAGACTCCAGCAATTCAAAGTCATTTAGTTTCCTCTTACGATAACAAGAGTTAAACTGTGGCTGCCATTCTGATGCCTCCACCCATTAACAAGGGTCCCCATCAAACTTGAAGAAACCTCAGCTATCACTAAAGGTGCTCCATACACCTACCAGAAACCCTAAGTATTTGGAAAAACAAGGGGGCCATTGGCCCCAAAGCCCTCACCTGAGTACTGACTATTATAACTGTGACAGCAGTGAAAGTCAGTGTTTATCAATGTTGATCATTAGACCATATAATATTTCATGCAAAATGTATTTTTAATCATACAGTGTAACTTCCGAAAACCGAACACCCATGGGACTTGTCAAAAAGTTCGGATTTCAGAGGTTTCCGGAATTCAGAGGTTTATGATAATGTGGACAAGACTAAGCCACTTAATATCACTGAATGTCAAGGAAGATGTGGCCATTACTGTAATATTATATATAATAGTCTTTTAATCAAGATAAAGATGTGAATGAAAAGAATACATTTTTATCTTACCTGCAAATGCTTTTGGATTTCTATCAGTTTGTAGAAATGTTGTTAATTGCATAAACTTACATATCGTCAGATGCTAGTTAATTAATTATTACATCAAATGCAATAAAATCCCTAAAGACGTTTGATGCATACATTGTCCATATAGATAGAGATATAAAATCTAAATCTTAACAAGAGGGCCATGATGGCCCTGAGTCGCTCACCAGAAACAACTGCTTTTCAGTGTTGGAATGTCAATATTTCCTAATATCAAATTTAAGCATAGAATATGTTTAAACAATAATTTGAAGAAATGCCATGACCTGGGGCATTTAAGCTTTAGCTTAAATGGGGCTAATCAAATTAATATGAGCAAACTTGATAAAAAACTACCTAAGAATGCTACAAAGTTTGGTGATCATCTATCAATTATTTCAGTAGGAAATGATGTTCGAAGTTTTTTTTCTATTTTTAGCTTTAGTGGCCCCTAAAAGGGGCTAATCAAATTAATATAAGCAAACTTGATAAAAGAGTACCCAAGAATGCTACAGACAAAGTTTGGTGATCATCCATCAATTGGTTTTAAAGTAGAAGATGTTTAAAGGTTTTTCTATTTTTAGCTTGAGTGGCCCCGAAAAGGGGCCAATCAAATTCACGTGAGTGAACTTTATAAAAGATTACCCAAAAATGCTACAAACAAAGTTTGGTGATCATCCATCAATTAGTTCTGTAGGAGAAGATGTTTAAAATTATTTCTATTTTTAATTTTAGCGACCCGTAAAAGGGGCTAATCAAAAAAATATGAGCAAACTTGATAAAAGACTACCCAAGAATGCTACAGACAAAGTTTGGTGATCATCCATCAATTAGTACTGTAGCAATAGACGTTTAAGCGTATTTATATTTTTAATTTTAGCGGCCACTATAAGGGGCCAATCAAAATACAATGAGCAAACTTGATAAAAGACTACCCAACAATGCTACAGACAAAGTTTGGTGATCATCCATCAATTAGTTCTGTAGCAATAGACGTTTAAACGTATTTCTATTTTTAATTTTAGCGGCCCCTATAAGGGGCCAATCATAATAATATGAGCAAACTTGATAAAAGACTACCCAACAACGCTACAGACAAAGTTTGGTGATCATCCATCAATTAGTTCTGTAGAAATAGACATTTAAAGGTATTTCTATTTTTAGCTTAAGCGGCCCCTAAAAGGGGCCAATCAAATTCATATGAGCAAACTTGATAAAAGAGTACCCAAGAATGCTACAGACAAAGTTTGGTGATCATCCATCAATTAGTTCTGTGGAAATAGACATTTAAAGATATTTCTATTTTTAGCTTTTGCGGCCCCTAAAAGGGGCCAATCAAAATAATATTATCAAACTTGATAAAAGACTACCCAAGCGTGCTACAGACAAAGTTTGGTGATCATCAATCAATTAGTTCTCTAGAAATAGACATTTAATGGTATTTCTATTTTTAGCTTTAGCAGCCCCTAAAAGGGGCCAATCAAATTAATATGAGCAAACTTGATAAAACACTACCCCAGAATGCTACAGACAAAGTTTGGTGATCATCCATCAATTAGTTCTGTAGAAATAGACATTTAAAGGTATTTCTATTTTTAGCTTTTGCGGCTCCTAAAAGGGGCCAATCAAATTCATATGAGCAAACTTGATAAAAGACTACCCAAGAATGCTACAGACAAAGTTTGGTGAT